GGTCCCTACTTGCAGGGACAGGGGACTTGATGAGTAGACTTATAGCCCCTATAAGCCACATAATAACCCCAACTATCTCCATTTTTACCCCACTCACTTGGGTTTTTGATGTTCCAAGTAGCCAGGAGTGCGACGCAGCATCCAGTGCCAGCTGTGAAGTTTGCGTGGGCCTTGGGCACATGGAGTCTGCAACAAATAGAGGTCACTTTTTGGGGTCCTATATGCGTGATTGTCAAAATTATGGTCCTTTTTGCATCCCAATTATAATACGCCACCTAATATTGAGGGTACCCAAAAAGGGACAATCGCCCATCTTGGTGTTTATATTGCGATGCCTATTTGAGGATAGTACCATATTTGCAAGATACAAGGAAGGCCTTGCCGAAGCATAGGAGCCTATGTGCACAGTTTCAAGACAGCGTAAAACAACAGAACACGTGCTGTGGACGCTTTAGCGCGACATGCAAACTCGAATGTCCCGGTCTCGTTTGAAATTATTTCTGAATGCTGCGCTTTACAGCCCCGCAGAATGTTCCGAATAGTCTTCATGATTCGCGAATCTAATTCGGCCGCAAGGTGATGCTTCTTGAATCGGCACCCCAGTAGGTTCCAGACTTGGCTCGATCCATAAATTGCTGACTCCCAACACAGTGCCTGGGACACTTTTGCAGACACTGTGCCATTGTTACAGGAAACTTGAAACCCTACAGATCCTGTCTAATTTTGGTTTTACCTCTAATCCCTGCTCAGGTGGCCTCAGCTTATGCGCAAATCATGCGGAACTCCATCCTCCCGATGTTGGCAAGGACCCTCACCGAAACCGCACATAGTTTGACTACGTTTTTCGCTTACATGATTCAGGTGCAGAGGGGAAGTTTCGTTGACACCCTTAAGCTGATCAGAGCAACTTTAAAGTGCAGTATTTTTTCACAGTTCCAAAGCACAGTTGAGGGTTACCCTCACATCTGCCTCGGCCGTGGTGCTGCTATCATGCTTTCCATGTCTATCATTGTGAAGCAGGACTAGCTGAATTCAATGTCAGGCAACCTAACTATTCTTTATGTAACTTCTATTCTTGTCACATTGCATTTTTTCCGCTATCTCCTTTTGCACTTTGGCAAAACTTCCATCCTGTGAAGTGCCAAAAGGACAGGCTTGCCATGTCAGCGGCATCAGCAAAGCCTAGACGCATGAACACTGACAAGTGCACAAAATGATACCAACCATTCTTGGACATGTTGCGGCTGAGGTCTTAATAGTAGTTTCCATTTTATTCTCCATTATCCCTAGATAATCCCACATATATACCCTATAATCCCTATATAACCCCTATAGACCCCATAATCCCAATACAACCCAGAGAAGGACGACAACAACAACCACAACAACAACAACAGGAACGCAATCTGCATGGTCTGCTTGCAGTCACTTCGGTCGTCATCATTGCCATCAGGATTGACATCGAACTCACTGCGTTAAGCCGAGCATGGCGTTGATAGCAAGCTTGACACTACTAGCCCTAAACCCCCCGAGCCCTGCACTGCTAAGCCCCGAAACCCTACGGTTCTAAGCCCGCAAATCATACACCCTAAAGCCCGGAACACAAGTCCTAAAGCCTACATATTCCTACATATCCCTGCATATCCTGGGATATTTTCATATACTCCCCAGAAAACCACTTTTTTTGGCGATCCTTTGGCAGGCCCAGCGACTCACAGTTTGCACCGAGTGCCGCGGTTACGCCGCTTCCAGGGCTGCAGCATGCAGTGCGCAGGGCCCAGTGTTTTGAGGGTTTTGGCGTTTAGAGTTTAGGGTAGGGTTCAGTGTTTAGAGGTTGGGGTTTGTGGGCTAGGGTTTAGAGTTTGGGGTTTAGGGTTTTGGGCCAAGGCGGTCAGGGTTTGGAGTTTGGGGCTTGGGGTTTTGGGTTGAGGTTTCAAGGTTTAGCTGCGTCTTGGGGTGTTATTATCGTGGATTTCATAGGGTTTTTTTTCTTGGCTATGGCAGGAATGCCAGCAGAATTGATATTTTCCCTAGTGAGAAGAAGGATCCGAGAAGAAACTGGGATTTTGGCTGGTGTCCTTGTCCTCTCATTACCCCGGAACAGATGCGGTCAAACGACGCGCCAAGCAGGAAGTGCCTGTGTGTGATTGCAAGTGGCACAGAGTGTGACGACTGATCTATATCATTCATACTCATGTATTAGGAGGGCCGCCCCATCCTGTAATAGTGGTATAATAGGAATATAACAGGACCCTAATATGATCCTGATTATCCTTAATGGTCACTGTTACAGGGGGGGGAGGCAATGTGTATTACCCTAAATCCTAAACCCTGAATCCTAAGCCATAAACCCTATACCCAAATCTCTAGCTGTTTTTGTTTTGTCGGCAGCGCGCAGCATGCTGATCCCTCAGGTCGTTCGAGCTGCACGGGCCAGATTCTTTGTGGAGTGCCTGGCAGAATTAGCATAGGGTTTAGGGGCGTCCCCCAAAAACGGAAACACCCATATAGACCCCAAAATATTATATAATTCTCACTATAAGGGAAAAAGCCTCTTTATGTTTTTTGTGGAAGATAGGGCTCAGGGATGATGGTGAATTTTGCAGTAACACCTTCGCTGTCAACACCGGTTGTGCACTGGTGATGTCCATGACCAGACTAGTGGTGACTAGCGGGTCCTTCTAGTTATGGGTGCAAAGGATCTAGAGATTTCAGGGGTTATGTTTGGAATTGTGAATTAAATTCACGCTGGGTACCTGTGGCAATCCCAATGTCACATCCTCACTACCGAAAACTTCATCAACTGGAGTTGAGAGAACATGTATCCCCTAGGCTAAGTAAGCCCGATACCCTTTTTACAGAAATCCTCAGGGGGACCAGAACCACCGGAAGGTTCTCTAAGGCTTTCTAGGTGTCTCCATATTACGTGGCCCTTATATTTTGGGTCTTTTCAGGGAATGTTTGACTGCTTTTTCAGTGCTCTTACCGAGGCCCAGTTCCCATGACCACTTTCACGTGATAGTCAGTTTGTCTTCCTGAAAAAGATAGGTTATAATAGACATGGGGAACATGTTATGGGCCTAAGCACAAAAAGATAACAAAAGGTGCCTGGCGGCTACTACTCCCCGTCTGGGCATCTACGGCCCATCTGCTCCATTGGAGGAAGCTGTGGACTGCGCCAGCTGTGCCTCAAGCCGCAGAAACTTATGGTGAGGGTCAAGGGGAATATATCTATTGGGAACATATTTCTCCAACAATGGAACAGAAATTGGAAAAGGAAATGGAAGCTACCTCTACAGTTACTGCAAGGTTCAGGGCTTAGTAAATAAGTCTGAATCTTGAGAAGCCCCCAGCACTCTGCCCATATCCTGGAGGAGGGGGTTGGAAGCAGACTCAGAAGGAGTTTGTGGACAATCCCTGGATCAGCTGCCAACAAGTCCTGCTCTGCCTCAGCTAAGGCGTCAGCCAAACAAACCCTAAACCAGGTGTGTGAAGACGGAGACAACCCATCCCTCAGGTGGCTTGGTTTTCTCTAAGCTGCCCGGCTCCTTGCGACATCATTGTCGGGCGTGCGGAAGGCGGTTTAGGGTTCAGGGTTCAGAAGCAGTTCCTTAGTTTATAGTCCCCCTTAAGTAGATAGAATATGGCTTTGGGTATATTATGATAAGATCCCCATATACCCCATACCCTAAAACCTAAACCGCTTTTTCTATCTACTTAAAGGGGGACTATACCCCATGTTGAGAAGCGCTCACCCTTGTTGTAGTCAGTCAGGTCTTCACCTCAGCGACTGACCGCTCAGCATGCTCAACCTCGCCCTGAACAATAATTCCGCATGCCAAAGCAGCACGAACTTCATTGCTAACAGTGACAATTGTTCCTAATCACATCCCTCTTATTCAAAACACCATAGCTCCTCTAGGGTGTGCGGGCTTCAATGTTATGGGAAGTGGAGTTGAATTGTCACCACTTTCAAGCCGCAGGCCAAACGAGGAAAACACCGTAATTCTTTAGACTTTGAATTGTAACGGTTTCTAGTGTCACCACCTGGATAAGTTACAATCTCATCACCGCTGCACCCCAAATGGTGCTTTACAACTAGAGAATCACAATATTACTTTGTTGCAGAGTTTTAGAACTATGGTGTTCTGACTTTAAAGGGTTATAGGTTTCATGCAGGGTTGTGCAGCGATGTTGTAGGGATATGTAGGGCTCAGGGTTTCGGATATTTGCTCCAGCCAAGCCTTCCACCCCTGGAGGTCGCTGTGTGCTGTTTGCCTCTGTGGGGTTGCGGGTTGCCTGGTCAACGTTGCCCGCTGCCCTCACAAAGCCAGGCCTCCACATTGTGGTTTAGTTTTATGATATAGCCATAGTAGTAGCAGGTGCACTAGCAATAAGAGTAGCAATAGTGGTAGTGATAATGTTCATTGTTGCATGAGAAGGGCCCTAAACCCTAAACCCCGATGAAGTCTAATGTCCTTTCGAAAGAGGGAATGTTCCACATAGTTAAGGGGAGGATGGAGTTGAGGGTTGGCATGCAGGATAGACCTGGGTTTAGGGTTTAGGGTTTTTAGCGCTTCAGGCTTTAGGGTTGTTTGCCTCATATGCTTCAAACAGGAAGCAGGGCCACCAAACCACCAAACCACTTAAAATGGATCCCCAAAAGAGACTTGCAGAGGTTTTGAGAAGCCGATACGTCCCCTTGTTAGCCAAAAGAACTCGGGGCTCATTTGACCTGATTCAGGCGTGTCTCGGAACCCTGGCAGCATGCCCGAATCTGCTTCAGACTGGGTTTCCCAAAATTAGGGGATTTTTTTGGGTCCATCTGGTAAGGATTATAGTAATTTGGGGTGTATATTGGGTCCCCAATTGCAGTTGGGGTTTAGGTGCGACAGGCGTGTTGTCAGGAACATGCCCTCTAGGGTATGGTGCCTAGCAGTACCGGGAAAAATGTGTCGAAACATTTTGCAAACCCTCCATGTGTTTTTTGCAAGCGGCAGGTTGTCCGACAAAGAAGAGCGGGTGTGCATCCGAGCCGAACATTTTATCATCTCTGTTTTGTCGTTATTTGGGCGGAATGTCAGACCGAAATCATAGAACCTCAAATCCCAGAATTAGCTTCCTCGGAGCCAGAGCCATAAACTCGAATCCCCAAATCTTGATTCCTAGACCCGGAATTATTAACACCTACACGCTGAAGCTTGAAACCGTTCACTCTGCATGGCCGAGGCAAAGACTGTTTGCCAATAGCTGCTGCACGAGTCTTGGCACGTTCGGTGGCGACCTCCGTGATCGACACGGCCTGCAAGTTTCATGGGCTGCACCTAAGGGTTATATCATGCCTTTTTTGTGTGAAATGATCATAATGTAGGTTTCCATTGCAAGACCGGTCATGTTGGAAGCAGTGATTAAGACAAAATCTCAAATGTGTCTCTATAGTCGTTTCAGACTTTCTTGAGATAATGGAGTGGTTCAAGCTGTCACATGATTGTGGTTCCTGTTTGGAATCGGGTATCTAGGGTATAAAAGGATTTGTCAGACATTTCAAGTCCTATCTGGAAACTGCATGTGGGTTGTAGGGCAGCGGATAGAGGTACCATCCAAAAGGCCACGGCAAAGACGGATAGAGAGTGCCACTTGCTTTTGAACATCCTTTGGCAGTCTGTCCAATTTTTCTCTGAGCTTTCCAAACCAATATACAGCCTTATTTCTTCACCTTTGAAAGAGAGGACTTTCCAAATTCACTTACGACCCTACATAGGCACCTTCTAAAAGAGGATGGCAGTCTTAACAGTCCCGTTTTAAGGCTGCAAGATAGGCAGGTTTCCACCCCTTAACCCAAGCCTCGCATCTGAAACTTTAAAACCCTGACGTTACATACCCTTTTATATGTATATATATATATATATATAGATCCCTACAACCTCCATATAGCCCCTTAGATAAGCTTAGCCCCTTAGATAAGCTTATAAAATCCCCATGGACCAGGTATGCAGATCACTGTCTGCGAGTCTCTGCCTTCTTGGAAGATCCTGAAGCCATACCGTTTCGGGGTTGCAGTTGAAGAATTTCATATTATTGGGGGCTTGTAGGGAATATAGTCCCCCTTCCAAGATCTCCACATACCCCATATTCTATCTACTTAAGGGGGACCACAAGAGTATACATAATCTTGGAATTTCATAGGGATGATATTCTGGTATTCCCTACGTTCCAGCTTTGACACTTTTAGCGGTGCCTCACTGCAATTATATTCAAAACATGAAGATGTGGGGTTTGCGTTTCCGGGTATCTATACAGGAGAGCCTGATGTAGATTGAACATGATGAGTTTTACAGCGCCTCAGCAGTATCCGAGGCTGTACGAGGCCAACAATGTTGACACTGCCTAAGGCTCAGTGCTGGTTCACGGGCTAGGGTTCGGATATTAGGGTTTTTAGGTATGGGCTTCGGGTGCAGTGCTTGTATGGATTCGAGATAAGGCTTCAATGTTTGGAGCTTAGGGATTAGAGACAGGGCTTCGGGTTTAACGTTTGGAGTGTAGGAGTCAGAGATGAGGGTTTTGGGTTAATTTTTGAGGTCTGCAGATTTTTAGAGTATCTGCCTGCTGGGTGGGGCTCCAGGATGCGATCCTAAAAGTTCTCCTAGAGCCTGTAGAATAAAAGCTGGCTTTGGGAGCACGGGTTCTACATTTCGAGCGTACGCTATCTTGTTGAGGTCTATGAGGGTGGAGGCCCGGATGCCAGCTGCAGAAGCACCCAAGACCTCAGATTCCACCTAATGCTTGTCTCAAGCACCCCGGACGCTCCTGAACTTTTCAGGTTCAAAATCCTATAAATCCCCATTGAAATCTATTTATCCCCATATAAGCCTAAATAACCCTCTATATCTATATATATATATACACATACATGAACCAGACCTGATGCATAAATTGCACGGAGGCTTGAGCCTCCTAGAAACGAGCCTTCTTGGCCGCAAGCTTCAGACACAATGAGGGAATATATTGGGCTTATATAGGGACAATGGAAAGACAATTTCAAACCACTACATTATCATGGGGTATATATTGGTGTTAGTTCAGGAAATTTGGAAGCCCGTCTAGGCCCAGCTCCTAAATCCTAAGCTGCTCACCCAACATTAGAAACCGTCAATCTGCCAAAAGCTTATTCCTAAGCCCTATGTAGACCCTCCACCTTTCATAAACCCCAATATGACCCTCATATAATCCCTATAAAATCCCCATATAGTAGCTTCCATTTTCTTTTCCATTATCCCTATATAACCCCAATATTACCCCTATATAATCCCCCAAAAAACACCTAAACCCTAAACCCTATGTGTAAACCCCTGAACTGAACCCGCTCAGGTCCAGGAGAAGCTCTGGCGAGCTGGGGGCTTCGCGGTACCTGGGTCTTATAGGGGTTTAGGGTTTAGGGTTTAGGTTTTAGGGTATATATAGGGGTTATATGGTGGTAATATAGGGGATATATAGGGGATAATGAAAAAGAAAATGGAATTTACGATCAGTATCAAGATTTGTGGGTGTCCGAAAAGTGGTACCATTTGGGGGGTCTCAATAATCTATATTGGGGTTCCCCTATTTGGGGAAACTACCATTTGGTGACTTTAAGGCAAATACTTGTAGGGTTTGTATATGAGACGAGGAGCGGGAAAAGCACGATTTCAGAAAATGCGGCTGGTAGGAAGGTCTTTGTGGAGTTCACCCCATGTTTTGGGTGGTTGCAGGGCTTGTAGCGGGATTTGCACGGATATGAGGTCTTTGATTTTGAAAGAACACAGGTCTTTGTGGACTGTAGTGACCATGAGAGGCTGCACAGTGTGGAAGGATTGGAAATGATGACTCCTGTTCTCCTTTCAACATTCCACCTGGATTGCAGAGTGGAGGCTTTTTGAATACATGGAGAAATCTGATCCTGAAAGGGGCGGGTGGGGGGGCGGGGGGCGTGGGCGTGCTTTCTGCAAAAGCATACAAAAAGCAGCAACCTCACATTGACAAGACGAAGCAAAAGTTGTATGAAGCTCGAAAGAGCCCCACAAAACAAAAACAGAGGAAGGTAGAACGCCCACATGGCCTTGTCAGAAGCAGTTTAGGAAAAGGGCATCGACAGCAGTGAGCACGATTCGGTTCCAACAAACAATTTTCTGGACTTGGCAAGTCATTGATATAGTCAGTCTTGTCATTTTGCTCACTGACTATCTTACCGTGACTACAGCGAGAGATTGTTGTTGTAGTCCTTGTTGCTGTTACCACCTCCTCCTACTCCTCCTGCTGCTCGTGCATTTTTTCTGTCAATTTTATTCCTGCTGCTGTTGCTGCATTCTGCCATTCCTCCTACACTTCCCATGCTTATGACGACTACTGCTACCGTCACCGTACTGCTGCTGCTTGCTGTTGTTCTTGGTGTTTGTAAACGCTTACTCCCCTTAGTGATTCAGTCCTTCAAGGGCTTTCCAGCCATAGTTTTTAGAACTCATGTCACGTGTTGACTGTCACTGTAGCGGAGACTGACCCACGACACAACGTAGTGGCTGCAAAGAATGATCAATATTATGTATAGGGTAGCTCAAGTAGACCTCAAAATACTCTTATTCACGCTTCCTTGCATGAGCTTTAGTCTAAACTCTTTAAAGGGATTATATAGGAGACTGTTAAAATAGGGGTATACGGGTTACTTAGGGGGATACTAGGAGAGTTAAGACTGTAGCTCACATTACCCAGAAGAGGTGGAAGGCGCCCGTCGTGCCGCGCCTCTGCTGTCCCTTCCCTGGGCGCTTGGGGTCCGGGCTGTGGCTCCTCGGTTCAAGGCTAAACTGGGTTGCTGTTGAGGAATTCAAATTAAGTTACTATAATACGGAAACCGGATCATTTACTGTATACTCGTATCACGGTAACTCAAGTTAAGTTTCTTAACAGCAACCCAGTAAAGAATCCGAGATCAGAGAGGCAGGTTTAAAGAAGAAGATGGTTCTGAGGTATAGTTGGGAGTAACGGGGGGAACTAAGGTTTCAAGGCATACACGCAATCTAGTTCTAGTATGTCTTTATTCAAGTGCTGATCCTAAACTAACGTGTTGGGGATTTGTTCAGGCTTCTTGAGTGCACAGCGTCTTGTGGGATTTATCTCTATCTTAATTTGGCGGTCTCTGTAATGCGGGCCAAGCTTTTTTGTTAGAAGGGAGGCCCTGATGTTGGATACATGCTTCTTAGCATCGCGTGGGGATCCACTGGGATTTTTGCAGCCTTGGTACAGGAGCTTGAATAGCCAATAAAATTACCTTCCCATAAGTGGTGCATTGCTGCAAAGACACTCTTCCGAATTGGAACTGTTGGATTGCTCTAAAGGTTTTAGCGCTCGGGGGCTGTGGCTTGAACCTTGTGATTACGTTTACAGAGCAAGACTTCGTTATGATTTTTCTTTGTTTTTGGGTTTAGGGTTTCTGGTAAGGTTCTTGGCCATCCAAGCCTAAACCCTCCGCCTTCAACCCTAAATCAAGAATTGCGTGGCACGCAGTGTGATCCTTTAGATCACTGCTTTTGTGCAGATGCAGGCTAGTGAACGTGACAATTTGTAATAGGGCTTCATTGCAGAGTTCTGCATGCAGTGGATAAGCGTCTTCCAATATTAGCGGTGCTTTCTACGTATTCTGTAGTCTAAACATTTTACAGGGGGTCATAAAGCGATTGTATAGGGGAATATTACCGGCGTTCTTTGGGGGAAAACTAGGAGTTCAGACTCTAGCCCAGATGTTCCAGCGATTTTTGTGGAGACCTGCTGGGCATTTTGGCGTGTGCAGTCTCCCCGAGGATGAATGCTTGCAGAGCTCCGAATCTTGCAAGCCCAACCTGTACCATGCAGCTTAAAGAGTTTGAAAAGAAGGCTTATGGACGTCCTGATGAGATGTACGTTTAGAATCGCAGCAAGCAAAATGAATTCTCCGCTGCACCAAGGATGTGGTATGGAATTATGGTCAGTATGGCATATTGGGCTTCCTGCTGCGCGAAGAGATCATGCAGGGTATCAAAACCTTGCTGAGCTTCAGCTCCGCGTTGCAAGACATTCCACCCAAAGACTTGCTAGTAGGCCGGGCTGCTGCAGTGTCACCAGTTTCAATGAAAGAATGACCCATGTCACAATTCTTGTTAGGTGATATTATTGCAACACTAGAACACAAGAAATACCTGTGACATTTGCTAAGTGCTGGGTCTCCTGCCAGGGATCCTCTACCTGAGTGCCGAGCAAAGGAAGGCCATGCGAGATGCCCCGGAAGAGAACCGCCGACTGGCCGGGCAAACTGGCAAGCCGGTTCCACCCGAGTTGCTGGAAGCGCTCATCGGCATGGCTTTGATAGGTGCAGACTTGTGAAAGCTGCTGTCATGAACTGCTGCTCCTTTACTGCTTCTGCTTATGCTTTTGCTACTGCCGCTGTTGCTTCGACGTTAGTTATGATGATGGTGATGATGATGATGATCATGATGATGATGATGATGATGATTTCAGCCGGTCCCTGCAGGAACTTACGCGCCCTATCATGACACCCCCTACGAAGTACAGCGTTTTGCCCTGCAGCAAGACTGGCGGTTGGTAACTGAGAGACTTGGCGACAGCTGGAAGCACAGGCCTGCTTGGGACACCTTCATCCCTTGTTCCGCAATATAGGGGTTATATAGGGGTTACATAGGGTTTATGTAGGGGTAATATGGCTCATAACCCTTAAGGTTAAGGGTTTAGGGTTTGTGAATGTCCCAGGCTCTATGCTGAAGACCCTAAAGCCTAGCTTTCCATGCACACGTTCAAGGCCTGCCTGGGCTCTTTTCATCAGCGAGCATCGCACCGCGGCGCTTTCGATTCGGGGCACGGATGTCGAACAGTCCTGTGGCAGCACAGCCGTCTCCAATAAGTAAGGGAGTGTGAAAAGCTTCTTTTGAGTGAAGGCTACGTCATCTTGGATTTCTTTAAGGTGGCCAGGTTTTGTTTACGCAGTCTTGCAGCCAGCTGGAGTTATATCAAAGACTCGTCTGTGTTCCGTACTTGGAAGTTCATGTGTTGGTCAGATCGTGGCTATAAGTTATGAAAGGACAAGGCAACCCTGAATCCTATACAGCTGTACATTCATGGGGCAATATATTCTTCAATATATCCATAAATAGCCCTATGTTAACCCAAAAAGCCATATCAAATATACTCTTACATAACTTCAAACAGCCCTTGAAATGTGAGCTTCCAAGACAAGAGCTGTTTCGAGGTCCCGAGGTGGAGATCTCTTCACGGATTTCGATGCCGTGCCAGCGAAGTACGAGACTTCCGACGGGTCTGCCACGCTGATGGCACACAGTGGCTGTGCAATTGTGGGATGACACCGTAGATGTCAATGACTACTTACACAGGATAGCTAAAGAAGTGATGAAAACGCCCCGGGCAAGGATTACTCACAAATTCTAGGGTAGAAGGATGGGATCTTTTTTAGTCATGCCAAAAAAGACCATTCCTTCAATGGGGGTTGGTTATATAGGGGTTTTACATAGGGGAGTATCCTAGGGCTTATTAAGGGGGATACTGTATCCCCCTTAATAAGCCCTAGAATACTCCCCTATATGAAGCCCCTATATAACCAACCCTCCGAGTTTAGACAATAGCTCAGGTGGTGTTCTTGCAGCGGCCGTTGCATTGGAAGTTGAGCTGCGCCCCACGCTGCGAAAGCTGGCGACTGCAGGCTACCGCATAGTGCTGACTGGCCACAGCTCTCTGGTACTGCACGGAGATTTGCTGGTTTTTCGTGAAGGAATTTAATTTCAGGTGCAAAAAGGGGGGGAAACATATGAATTGCCATATACAGGCCTCAAATTCTACATCATGACCCCAGTCATCCCCGTTCTTAACCTTCTTCCGAAATCCTCCTAACCCTCAAAGTTGTTTTAGGGAGTGACTCTAAACCCTAATCCCCAATGGAAAAGCTGGCCTCACAAAAAGCCGTAGGTTTGGGGGGTGGTGTGGCAGCCCTTTTGACCTGGCTGTTGCGTCATGGCACTGGCGGAGAGCGCTTACCTCCAGGCTTTGAGGGCCAGGCGCTGGGAATCTGGGTTGCTGTTCAGGAACTTAAATTATAGTCCCCCTTGAGTAGATAGAATATGGCTTTGGGTATATTACAAGAAGATCCCTATATACCCCATATTCTATCTACTTAAGGGGGACTATAAGTTACCATAGCGAGTATCTATAGTAATTAATATGGCCTCCCCAATATAATAACTTGAAAAATTAACTTCCTTAACAACAACCCAGGAATCGGGTATGCGACGCCTTCCATTGTGGACTGGAAGACAGCACAGGAGATGAAACCTTTCTTCACTTCAGCGGCTGGCTGGTTGTTGGCATGGGTTGGAATGGCACCAAGTAAGGTTCTTTTAAGGGAGATATGGGGACTGCTTTGGGCCCAATGCCCTCCTAAGCGCCAGTAAGGTGGTCAACTCGATGGATATCGTGCCGCGCCTGAGCAATGGCACGCTGACCCATCTGAGTTCGGAAATTCGAGCTTGTGCCGAAGAAAGCGGAGCTGCTTTGGATGAGGATGTGCAGCATTATGTAGAGCGACTCACCAGCGTCTGGGCTCCCCGCTTCCGAGATGGCACGCCGCTGCGCGATCTCCCAAGTGCACTGCGAGAACACAACCACTCCCATGAACCTGGAGAGGTCTGCATGTCAGAAACTGCTGAAGGCGCAGGCAAGGCGACGGAGGATTTGCAACTCGCCTCTGACATGTTGTATGGCGTGTCCGCGCTAGTTTTGGGAGGCGCAGCAAGGTGTAGCTCTTGTAATTGGGGACCTTCGGGATCAAGGGTGGCTGATTACGAGGGTCGGGCCATTGCTTGCCACCCTGCGCAGAGGTATGTCCCCGGAAACGTCGTATGGATCCACCGAGTTTGCGGGCATCTGGAAGCCGCCGTTGTCCCATGTGGCATCAAACCACTTCGCAGACTCTTGGGTCAGGTTAGGTTGCTAGTTTAGGATTGAGGGCTAAGGCTCAAGGTACAGGGTGATCCTGCATGGAGTGTCCGAGATGACGTTTCTTTGCAGAGCGTCCCACGAATTTCCTGGGTTGCAGGGGGTGACCGCCTGCTTCAAGACAACCATTTGAGCTATAGTCCAAACTCCTAGTATCCCCCTTAATAACCTCTTTAGTCCCCTAGAGAATCCCCTATGCAACCCCCTGTAAGGAGTTTAGATTACAGCCCGTTTCGAACTCCCGTAGTTAATTGAGCCCAATGGGAAAAGAACATGAACAATTAAGATCCCTTTAGTCTTCTTGTCTTCGCTCCGTATGTAAAATCTACACATCTGGAAGCCTAGAAGTTATCCTTTTCGCAATGTGGTAGTTCCCTAACACAGGGAGACCCCAATATAGACCGTAATATACTATAATCCTTGTTATAGGAATCCCTAATTTTGGGAACCCCCATGTAGCCTATCTGCAAAACGTGAAGAATGTCCCAGACCGAGGACTCGTGCTGGACAAGCGGATGTTCGTGGATCACACAGCGCAGGCGATACACCAGGCGGAATTAATTGATCCCTGAACCCTAAACCTCAAACGCTGTACCCTAAACCCACCCTGTATGTCTCTATAACACCCCTATGGAACCCTAAACCCTGGACCCTAGCACGAAGTTTTTGTGTCTTGTAGCAGACTGCGGAGACCAAGATCTGGGAGAGTCGCGATGACTTTGTCAGAGCTTCTGTACATTTGGGCATTCCCCCAAGAAAGGGTGTCTTTTGGGGGTCCCCGCAATAAGGATCATAGTAACCTTACAGAGGGTGAAGTCCCTACACTAACCATCGATCCCACTTGATTTTCAGCAATTCAAGCACTATTTTGCCTCCCCAACATTTTTCCTTCCACATGTACTGTGTTACCAGCAAATATCCAGAAGCACGTTTTAGGGGTGAAGACAGGGAAAGAGGCTAGGATGGGGGTGGGTGAAGGTCTTTCTAATAGGCCCTCAAAGCCTACAACTCTAAACCCTCGACCTCGAACTCCTCAAAGCGCAAAGCCATAGACCCTGCACCCTAAACTCTACTCAGCCATGGTGCCTATCATCCCTCAGGCGTTGCTGGCTGTGCAGTCCAGAAGGTCTATGTCATCCCAGGCTTGTCGTGCATGCATAATAGATTATAGTATACTATATTATATGAAAAGTATATTCCAGTATACTATAGTATAATACTTTCATATAATAGAGTATTCTAGAATATATTACAGTATACTATAGTAAATCAGGGTTGGGAGGAGTTCTAAGCCATGGTGGGTCTTACATGGGCTACATGCTTAACTCCTGAAAAGGCGGGTTAACATAGGGGATTATATAGGGGAGCATTATAGGAGTTACTCAGGGGGATACTACGAGTTTTGACTATAGCTCACATGGGGCTTACGCATGGTTCGGCGCAAGAGCAAGACTCAATGTGGAAGCGATAGTGTTTCTGGATTGAGCATTGAATACATCCCCTCTCAGGTGTCTTGGCAAAGATTTGCAGATGCTGGGGAGAGATGTCCGTGCTGTGGGAGCCGCTACGAGTGGCTGAACACAGCGCCCAGGCTTATTCAGGTGAGCAGAGAATTAAAGGGCGCATGCGGTGCTTACACCGTGTAGCAGGGCCGTACTAAACACTCCGCCCAAACATTGCGCCAGCAGGACTTCTGAACTTCTTGCAGCACTTTAGGGTTCGGGCTAGGGTTCAGGGCTTTGGGAATAAGACAAGTTGCCACCCGCCTCCTCCAAGAATGACCCAGGCACGAAGTGGCAAGATGAGATGTCGCATGGCTTGGCTTGGATTTGCTTTGAAATTTTGATGTCTCAAGTGCTCATTCAAAGCCTAAAGCTTTATTCGGCATCTCCAAACTCAACCTCTTCACCAAAAGCTCTGAGCCCTCCCTACGTAAACCCTGCCCTTCCCAGCGCTAGGCCCCGAGAATCCTTAACCCCAAACCTTAAACCCCCCTAAACCATGTAAGCATCCGAGAATCCCAGGCCCTGTACCTCCAACTGGGTTCCCCAAAAAAAGGGGGCCGGGTATAAGGGTCCCCTGGAAAGAAGGGTTATAGTATTTTTAGAGTATCTACGGGGAACCGCTGGTTCGTGCATAGTACAAAAATACGCAGCCCTTCATGACCGCCCCTATATATATATATATATTTGTCTATTTTATTTGACTGCAAAACTTTCTCACCCTAAATTCTCAATCCCTCAAATAACGCTTTCTCAAAACCCTAGACCCGAAACCCTAAACCCTAAGCCCACATTTCGAAGTTAGGTCATGCCATGACGAAGATTTAAACCCTCAACCCCATAAATAACCTTAACTCAAAGCCCTAGACCCGAAAATTTCAAAGGTCATGCCATGACTAACTGATTAATAACCCCACTCCACTTAATAGGGATTATAGTAGAGATCCTAATATCTGGGCCTTAAGAGGAGGGGGGGTTTATTAATCATGGGTCTACATTAGGTCATGCCATGACTAACTGCCGACTCTGCGGTTTGGTCGTCTGCCTGGGTTGCGCGACCGCGCGGCGCTCCATCCCGGAGTCACCTGACATTTTTGGAGGGTTTGGAGGTTAAGGGTTATTTTGGGATTTAGTGGTTAAAGGTACAAGGATTTGGGAGTTTAGGGTTTAGAGTTTTAGAAATTTGGGGTTTAGGGCTTCAGAGTTTAAGACGTGAGTTTCTTCACATAGATTCTTTGTAAGGTAGACACTTATCCTCAAAAGTCTTAACATATCACTTGGCTGCTTAAGAGGCATCCCATCTTGCGAACCCCCAAATGAAGGTGCCTCTAGGGTCTAGGAAGGGTTCCTTCTGACCAAACAGGGATCCTCCCTAAACCATAAACCCTATAGCCTAAACCCAATGGTTCAGGGTCCAAACGGTTTCTTGTGCATCACATATCCTTCGCAGCATGAAGTTGCCGCATATATTGAACGAAGAGAACTTTCAAGCCCACTGCAGAACTGCGATGTGTCAAGGATCCAGTTATCCTGCTCGACATCTTGGACCCTACTCGCAGCCCATGTTCCTGAAACTAACATGAGCCCCCACTGGTAGTCCTCCAGGGGCGCCCCTGCTTTAAACCCAAGTGAAGTCTGACGTTGTCGTCATTGGGCCCAGTTTTACTTGTGAAGAAATGTGCTGCAGAGCAACTTCTGATGGCAAGCAGGCGGCTGGAATACCTACCAGGTCTTAAACCCCAAATCCCACCCCACCCAGATACAAACTATAGTCCCCCTTAAGTAGACAGCATATGGCTTTGGGTATATTATAACAAGATCCCCATATTCCCCATATTCTATCTACTTAAGAGAGACTATAAACCCTAAACACGCAATCCACAAAGTCTTAAGCTCAGGCTTTGCATTGAGTCAGCCCGCATCTGTGACAGATGCGCCTGGCGCTGTGACAGTGGCTCGCTGCAAAGCCTGCCCGAAATCTTCCAATCCGTGGCGCAGTAGCTGCTTATAGTATATGATAGTAGATTATAGTATACTATAGTATATTTCAGTATTTCATAGTGTCGGCTAGAAGCACTCAAGCCATATCACTGCAAATGTGGATTGTTCTAAGTGTTTCGTAGTGCACCCACCTAGGCAAGAGCACGCAGTAGAACTCATGGGCGAAGTAGAGGCATTGAGGATCATGTAAGAAGTACTAAGTTGACTGCACAAACGGATGATATCCGTGATGCTTGAGACCATCTCCATACTATGCCAGTCAGGCAGATGGTAATCATTAAACCTAGGGTTTAAGGTTTAGGGGTTGGGGTTTAGGGTTTAGGGAGTGATGTAAAGCCTAAGCAAACCCTGCGCCTTTGCTGAGTTAGTGTATGCGCTGAAGTGCTGCTTGAGCCGCTTTAGCCTCTTAGCCTATGTGCCAAAGGCACATGGGCCCCATCACAGACACTGGTGGTGCTTGGCCCCAGGAGCCGCCTGGGTAGCTTTCAAGATCAGACCCCTTGTGGGGGGGCCCTCTTGATGCGGTACCAAAAATGCCTGGATTGCACACTGTTGCCATCATGCTCGGTGCATCCAGCGTTTACTGTAGGGGTTATATGGGTTTTTCTGTAGGGTCATATAGGGGTTATTTAGGGATAACGGAAAATAAATGGAAACTACCTGATCCGGCATTGGTGGTAGTAGGCTGATTTCAACCTGCTCGACATGGAGTCCGCTCCGGTTATCCCATGTGAGCTATAGTCTAAACTCCTCAAAGGGGGTTATATAGGGCATTATACAGGGGATTACTGTAGGGGTTATTAAGGGGGATATTAGGAGTTTAGATTATATTATAGCTGTTATAACCCCAACATATTATGGTCGTTTCCATTTTCTTTTCCATTATCGCTATATAACACCAAACAACTACAGTGAAACTCTTTAATCCTAAGCCCTAAACTAGGAGTTTAGATTATAGCTCATGTAACGTAGTTTCCATTTCATTTTTCATTTTCTTGTCCATTCGATTCTTCATTATTAAGACTATAGCTCATGTAATCCCTATGCATACCCTATTATAATGTACCATTTTCTTTTCCATTATCCCTATATAACCCCTATGCAATATAGTAGTTGCAAGGGCATCTCCACAGCCATATTTGCTGGCAGTTCTGGATCAAGAGGTGTACTTTATTGTAGACAGGTACCAGTCAGGTGGAGTGTGGCTTGAGGTCCACCTCGTGGCAGGAGCCCCAGTCTACCAGGTTTGATTAGGGTTTAGGGTGTGGGGTGTAGGGTTTAGGAGCCAATCTTCTTTCGGATGTTAGCCTGGCAGAAAGTGCTTGGAGAACGGGCCGTCTGAAGAGTTGCTTTTTATGTTGCTGGAGTGCCCTTCAGGTGCAACACACAAAGTCTGCAAAGAGCTAAGCATCTCACAGTAGTGGCCATCCTATCGGCAACAGGAACTGAAGCAACTAAAACGCCCACGACCCTGGCCTTTATTGGAGTAAGAGGTAGAATGGTAGGTGTGAAGAGAATGGAACGGGGACAGCAACGCCGAAAGCACAAAAATCACAAGACATTGTGGGAATCAACAATGCAACCTTCCTGTCCTCAATTGAACGCTTCCTACCACGTCACCTAATCGACCTACTTTTGTAACAAAGCGGAGGCCGCCTAAACACTTACATGGCCAGCAGAGCATAATATACTATAGTAGTTTCCATTTTCTTTTTCACTATCCCTATACAACCCGACTATATTATAGTAGCTTCCATGTTCCTTTCCAGCTATCCCAGTATAACTCTTTGGTCAAAAAGCAAAAGCAGAGTATCAGACTCAAGCCCGTACCCATTGTGTAATATTGGAGTGTATACTGGGAATAATGGAACAGAACATGGAAACTGTTGTAGTATATAGGGAATATATAGGGTTTAGGGGGGTCATATTGAGGTGTACTTTGGGAAATAGAAAATAAAATGGAAGCTAGTATTTAGGGTTTAGGGTTTAGGGGTATTACCCGGTAGAGGAGAGTCAAGTGGACATGGAAGATGCAGTTGAAGCATGAAATGTTTTAAATCTTTCGTCTCTGCGCGCATTCTTGTCAGAATATGTGGTTCCATACCTCTAACTTGCAATACTTGAAGCATTCCACTTTTATTGTGGAGCCTCAGCCCCGCAAACCCTTTGACTAGCCTGTCACGTTTTCATTCTGAAGCCCCCCAAGCCAACAAAACCCCTAGATCCCTTAAAGCCTTTGACCAAAAGCCCCTCTGCCCAACTAAACCCTAAACCCTAAACCCGAAACCCTAAACCTTAAACCCTAAACCCTAAACGCTACCAGGTGCAGCCATGTTCAATTTTCCGGGGCAGGGCGGCCAGATGCCGAGTCACAGTTTCCTGGCCGCCTGAGAGACCTGGGAATCCTATGTGAGCTATAGTCTTAACTCCTTAAAGGGGGTTTAGGGTTTAGGGTTTTGGGGGGATTATATAGGGGATTTAGGGGACTACTATAGGGGTTATTAAGGGGGATACTAGGAGTTTAGACTATAGCTCATGTGTGGATGTCAAAATCACGGTCCCTTTTTGGGTACCCTAGATATTAGGTGCCGCATTATAGTAGGGATCCAAAACAGGGACCATAATTTTGACAACCGCCCCTATTCGTACCAATGGTATTATAGTATAGTAGAGTGTTGTAGCATATTATAGTTTCTTAGTATGGTATAGTAGATAGTATATTTGTATAGTCTAGTAGATTATAGTATTTTAGGATCGTATATTATAGTATTGTATAGTATAGTATGATATATTCTAGTGTTTTATAGTCCATGAAGATTAACTCTAGTATACTATATCCCAAGGACCATTTTTTATTCATTCAGGCCCCTGCAGTAGTGATCCGGGTGCCTAAAGAGTTGCTAAAAAATGTCGAATCCCCATAGGGAGCCAGTTTTTCCCTGAGCTGAAGGTTAACGAAGGTTTTAAGGTTCTGGGTTTACGGGTTTGAGGGCCTGGTGGTTGGCAGACTTGGTTTTTACAAGCAAGAACTGTTCTCATCACCGGTGAGAGGATGTCGTTTCGCCAGTTGCAGCTTGGAAGATTGTATCTCTTTGGCGGCGAAGTTTTGGGAATGGAGAGCTTTGAATCACTTTTAGGTGAAGTTTGTGTTTAGGAGGATTTAGGGTTTAGGGTAGGAAGGTTTCGTCTAGGCCTAGGTCCAATGTATTTCTTCACCGGGCCCCTGGGATCACGGAAGCCTTGAAACCGGAAGCCTCTGAAGCGCCAAATCCCTAAACCCCTAAAGCCTAAAGCACTGAGAAGCCCTCACACTGATATGCAACCATATAGATGATATATAGACTATAGTACCTTATGGTATCGTATAGTATAACATAGACTATAGATTTTTTTGAAAGGACCCTGAATACCAGACCGCGTGAGAAATGCCTTTAGAGGGTTGCATATTAGTCCGGGGGAGGCACAACTGGACACTCTGAAATCAAGGCTTGGCACTCAACCCCTTCGCTCTGCCACCGGGAATGCTGCTGGGCCACAAGGGGTTTAGGGTTTAGGACTTGGAGGGCAGTTTCGGAATTAGGGTGTCAGGTTTGCACGTTACATTTACGCGTGAGAGTATTGCAGTCTATACTCAAAAGAGACCAAAGTATTCAAGAACAGCCGACGCAGTTTAGAACTTACTGTCTAGGTTTTAGGGAGATATCAGATCAACTCATGTTGAGGATTTCAAGCATAAGCGCACGTTTTCTGGGTATTTCTCTTTGGGAGCCCCATGTGCATTTCCACAACAAACGAAAATTGCACTCCAATAAGGGACCCACGATTTGTAGAGACCTCTCAAGGAATCGTGAGCTTTTGAGGGTGGTGTGTGTTGTAAAGAATGAATCATCATGCATACGTGTAGTAGCAATGACGGGAGTGAAGCAGAGTTGCATGAGAACAAACATGCGTGCATCATGAGATGAGCACAAGAAATCAGAATGTCAAGAAACCAGAAGCAACTTTTGATAGCAACCACAGGAGGGATTGTGTTGAGAAGCTTGAGACAGTGTTCGTATCGGCAAGCTCTCTTGGCTGGGGCGACTTTAAGTCTTCCCCAAAGCTTTTGAATTCGGTTGCAACATCGTGGCTCCTAGTAGCTGCTTGTAGTGGTGGTGCCGGCGGCAGCAGGTGCTACATCTCAGCTTTCATGTAGGGCAGTTTCCAAACAAGGGGGGGGAGCAGTATAGGCTCCAATAGAAGCCATATTGTAGTGGCTACCACAAAGGGGCCCCTGTTTTTCGTACACCTCCATTTGTATCTGCTCAAGCCGAGGCCGGGTATGCAGCAGCAAATGGCACAGGCAGCTGCGCTGAGATTCTGATTGTCCACTGAATTGATGTTGTGATAGGTCAAAAGAACTTGCTGTCATGGACTTAGAAGGAGCAAGCCCGACACAGTTGCTTGCCAATGCGCAAAGTTTTGGCAAGCGACAACAGGCAATAAAAGCAGCAACACGTGAATTTCTTCGAGCAACGCTAAGAGGAAGCCCGGTAACGCGCATTTGCGATTGGCATCAGTTGAATTTTTGTTCGCCAAGGCCGTTCAAACTTGCAGGCCTTATGGTAAGGACACCAAGAAATGACCCATGATTTTGGTAAACGCCTGATGTATTCAATGGCAGAAGAGGGAGCCCTCAGCACTCTGCCTCAGACATCCTCAGACTGCTTGTGTCTCAGTAGGAGAGCATGGATAGTACCAAAAACTTTTACCACATTTGACAGTGAAATCAAATGTTTGCTAGGTAAGATGAGCGCAACCTGTGTTAGGGTCCTTTTTCAAACTAGCTTGGGGTTCCTGAAGGGAACCTGCGATAAAGAGGCAGCAACGTTCTTGAACAGCAGCCCGGTGTTCACAAATTATATCTATATCGAATATCATGATATACTATAGTATATCATAGAATGCTATAATATACTGTAGTGTATTATCGTATATTATATGTAGTGTAGCAGCCATCTGAGGCTCCTACGATGCCCCCTGCTGTCCCAATATCTCCCTCCAGACCTGTACCGAACGTCCCCTCGTTTTGAGGATATGCCCGCCGACGCTGTTTTTGGCATTTGGGATATAGTCTAAACTCCTAGTATCCCCCTTAATAGCACCTAGAATAGTCCCTATATAACCCCCTTTAAGGAGTTTAGACTACAGCTCATTTGGGCCGGTAAAGTCGCCTGAATCGCTACAACCTGGGGATGTCCCAAAAAACATGCTCTTAATCATGCGTTCCCCCATGAGGCAGGGGTAGTAGATTGGGGGTGACAGAGGGGAGCCGGTGATATTTGCACTAAACAGCCAAAACGAAGTTGCGGGTAGGTTCAACGGCGGAATCAGCAGAACGTATATAGAGTCCCACAAGCCTTTTCAAGCATCATCCCAGAATCGTAGATTATACCCCCCTAAAATTGTATGAGCAGGTGGGCATTGAAACATCACCGCCATAGGAGTTTCTGAGCAGAATACCTATACATTTTGAAGGCGCCTGTGGGTCCACAACTGTATGCAGCATCTGCCAACCCCTCATCCCTACGCCCTCATCCCTAGACCCTGGTCCCCAAACGTGCCAAGTGCCATGGACCTCCTTGCCGTACCTTAGATAGACCCTGAGGTCATCCCTCAGCCCCATATAAGCCACAGTCTAAACTCCTAGTATCCCCCATTATTAACATCTAATCCCGAATATAACACCCTTTAAGGAGTTTAGATTATAGCTTCTACAAGCCACTAAACCCTGAACTGTGGAGAGGCGGCTGCGCGTCTGCCACCTCAGCACGCACCACCTGAACCTCCCAAGCTTTGACCCCAGGTGGTTGTTCTGCCATTCCAGGTAGGGTTTTGGTGGGATAAAGTTTACAGTCTTTGCAGGGTGAACCTAGGGTTGCAGGTAACCTATCAGGAGGTTTCCTGGGTGTTGTTCCCAAAACCTATGTCTGCCTGCTAGATAGCGACGAAATCATAAGACATGAAAAGTTGCTAAAACCATGTGCGCGCAAAATTGCCCAAGCATTCTGCAAAGGCTTTGTGACGCAAAACAGATGCTTTAGCGGGACTGCGCGCCCGCGCAAGCTCGCGCAAGCTTCGCGCAAGCGCGGCCCCAGCGTGCACAACCGGGAACACGGATCTTTGAAAAACCCCACATGTGGGAGTTTGTTGGAATACGCTTCCCCAAGCCCGTGCAACAAATACACGGACCCATGAGAACTCGACTTTCATAGTAGGGCATTCTTTCACCTTGCGGGTATATTTATACACACACACATATATGTATACAATCCTTGTTTATGTACAGGGAACCCGTCTCCGTCTTGGTGGTGGGTGTAGATCGCTATACAAACAAATCCAGCAGCTAGGTTGGAGCTTGCAAATGATGGGCAAGGTTCGCTGGCAGTTGTCATGGATCATATGTCCCTAGGCATATCGGAGACCCCTCAGAGGAGGTATCCCAAGATGCCCCAGATCCAGATCGGTTTCTGTGGGAGAGTTTTGAGACTGACATTGCCCCAGGTAGTCCGCAAGAGGGATTCCTCGAATCGCTTTTGCAATCCAGCGACCCAAAGGACCCCCCATTTGTCGATAAATCTCATGTAGGTTTCAGCTGAGCGCAGTACCATGGGCCGAAGCCTGCTGAGGCCAGCCGTGACGTCGAACAAAACCCAGGAAGAGTCTTGGCCGAGCTGTTACTGAACATGTCAGCCATCTTTGTCCAATGCAATTTCAGGTATTCATGGGGGTGTTAGAATGCTACTGCGCCCCACTCTGTATCAGCTGGGTAGTATTTATATTATCGTTATTTATAGCCCTTAATATGACCCCTAATATAATCTGTTACAGGGTAGGGCAGGGGCAGTACCCAAGAGTCAGATAATGAGGGCATTGGAGCCCTAAAGGCAACCACAATCTTGCAAGACTGTCACATCAACGGTTCCTAAGGAGCTGTTGGATGAGAAGGCGCGAAAGTGGCAGTCCTTGAACGCCAAGCGCTATGGAGAGAAGCGCAAGTGCGGCTCTCAGAAATACACGTTGGGTACTGCCCAGATGATATTTAGTATGTAGCTATATGAACCCCAAACCCAAAATGCACAGTTTTATTTCGCGGCTGAAGGGTTCATGCTGGGGAGTTCGGCAGAAGCGCCATTTAGAGGCAGACACTTCTGGGAGAAGCCCTGCACAACTTCCCACGTGAACCTCAAAGCATCAAACGACTGGATTTGGAAGCTCCGCCGGAAGTCCAAGGGCGCCCGAAGCAGGTTATACATTGGGAGGACCCCCACCCTGTAATAGTGGTATAATCGGAATATACTAGGACCCTAATGTCATCCTTATTATCCCTTACAGACACTATTACCGGGTGGGGAGTCCACCTAACCCATATCCTCCTAAACCCT